TTTGTGTTAAGTTGGAGACCAGCGTCTCGAAGGCGCGAAAGAGCTTCCGAGAGATGAAGAAGGTGGTCCTCAAAACTTGTGGAAAATATGATAATGTGTATAAATGACAGATTGACTGAACACAAAAGGAATGTCAAAAACAACGTTGCCAATTCGGAAATAGCGAAACATGTTCAAGAATGTAATAATTGTATACCCCACTGGTCTGAAACAGAGATAATACACAGGGAGTTAAACGACATCAAAAGGGTTGTAAAAGAAACAATAAGAATGAAATCAATGGGCAACTGCATTAGTCAGGTGTCGTTACAGCTTAGCAGCAGCGCAAAATCATTCTTGCGGATTTGAAAGTTTTGTGAAGTGCTTGTTGAATGTGAAGGTGTAAGTGGTTTCTTCCTTTGTGTATCACCTGAATTGATATCTTCTGTTACCGGGATGCTTTGTGATTATGGGTCGGAGAGTAGAGGGAGAGAGTGTACTGTGTACGCGAAGGATTCAGACAAGTGTCTTCCGGATGAGGGGAGCTATTGTTCATTGCTTTGTGGAAAACGTCAAGGTCGTTTGACAATTGTGGTGGAAAGATGTGAGACCTTTGTTATCTTTTGGCTTTCGAGATCGGGAAGGTGCTGTGGTGAAGTTTGTGGAGTGTGTATAAGAAGGTGACCAAATAAACTTGTCTTTAGCTGTGTTAGAGACGTGTCCTCGACTGTTCATTTTTCTTCTACTTCGAAACTTTCCTCTTTTCCTGCCTCAGTCTCGGGCTAAGAACAAAATGATAATGTGGTCAAGGTAACAGAGACACGTTCTCCACTTGAGACAACGGAGTACGGAATCAATCATTCGTTCAAACATAGCTGGCGCGTTACATAAACCAGAAGGCATAACGTTAAATTTATATAGTCCGTCCGGTGTCACGAATGATGTTTTTTGTTTGTCCTGCTCTGTCATTGGTATTTGCCAATAACCAGAACGCATGTCTAGTGGTGAAAACAAATGACGCACCCGATAGCGAATCAAGGGCGAAATCTATGCGGGGTATTGGATAAACGTATTTACGCGTTAGCTTGTTCAGGCGGTGGTAATTAACGTAGAACCCAAATGTCCCATCTTTTTTCTTTACTAAAATAACGGGAGACGACGAGGGGCTAGAGGATGGGCGAATAATTTTTTTGGCTAGCATAGCAGTCACATGAGTTCCGATGGTTTTACGTTGGGCCAACGACACGCGGTATGGTCGGTGTCGGACTAAGTCGTTCATTTCAGTGTAAATACGATGTTCAGTAGTTGAGCATTTACCGTAATCAGTTGGAGTAGAATTGAACACGTTCTGGAAAGTGCGAAAAAGACAAAGAAGTTGCCTTTTTGATCCTCTGACAACAAAGGCGACATAGTTTTAGCAAGTGATGTGACGAGGGCGTTAGAGGGTGGTTCAGCCGGGATTTAAAGAGAGGTGACACTTTGGGTCACTTGTAATGAACTCAGTACGGCTGCTGTTCCTAACGAATCGCCTCTAGGGAAAACGACCAAGTGTGGGTTCGCATTATCTAAAGCCAGCCAACCGGTACCGTTCGTAATAGTAGTAATTGTGTATTGCAGCAACAAGCCCTTAGCCATTAGAAGAGTGCGCAGTGGTTCAACTAAAACATCGCCTGTTAGATCTGCAGAGGGATAGACTTCGACTAGCGTTCTAGAAGAGGGAGGCAACTCGAACTCAGATGCAGCACATAACTTGATGGGAGAAACATATGTGTCATTCTCTTGAAACAAGTCTTCCGAAAGGTGAATTTCGGAACGCTCGCAATCAATTACAGCCTTGTCGGGCCTAAGGAAATCCCATCCCAGAATGATCTCTGCCAAACAATGGGGTAAAACAACGAATTGAATGTGGTAACGTACGTTGCCAATAAAAACTCGAGCTGTACATAGAGGTGATGGGCGGATAATGTCGGCACTCGCACAACGAAGGCGGCCACGTGCCGGTGTACGTACTTTGCGAAGTCTTCTGCAAACATCCTCGCGCATATTGAAACGGCCACACCGGTATCGAGAAGAGCTGAGAAGTGATGTGCGTCGATGATAACATTAATGTAGTTTCCTGGATGTGGAGGCTTGCTTGAGGTGTCGACTGCTGCAGTTTCACCTCCGGAAACTGCGCACCTTAGTTTCCCGTAGACGATCGTGGTCGAGCTGTCGGTGTGGGACCCATGGGCGACGAGAAACGTCGACGGGGAAGCAAGAAGGACTGTGATCGGGCGTATTGTGGTCTAGGTAATGCGTGAGGACCGGAGTTAAAATTGTTGCTCCTGTCACCTGATGAACGACGTAGTGACTCATCAAATCTGCGTCTTGTTGCCTGGTGCGATGGTCTTTCGTCATCGTACGTGTAGCGAGGTCTCTGGTACCATTGCTTGTCTTTGTCGCTTCGACGTCTGCGGCAGAAGCGGGCAATATGTCCTGTTACTCCACAGTAGAAACATGTCGGTCGACTGTTATATCCTCTCCAAGAACTTTGTTGAGGATAGCGGAAGCGAGAATCCACGAGTCATGCCACTGAAGAAGAAACTGTAGGCTCAGCTTGGGGGGGGGGGGGGGGGGGGGGGGTCGCGTTTCAACTGGTCTTGATAGCACTTGTGCATAAGAAAGCGACGCTTCCGGTTGCGGAGATTGTGGCGGTGAAGTAAGACTAATAGCCTGCCGTAATTCTTCATGGATCATGTCTTGCAGCGGAGCTTGTCTCAATGGAGAGGGCGGAGGCGTAGCAAGGAATTGCCTGAGTTCGTCACGGACAATTTCGCGGATGAGGGAACGCATGCTCTCTTGTGTTGGAGCAAATTGTAGCGGTTCTTAACGCATTTGCACCTGTGGCATTGGAGAATACCCAGCGTAGATAACGCGCTGTTGGCGAGCTTCTTGGGGGTGTTTGAAGCCGTCTACAACAGATCTAACATCCACAGGAAGCTGTGTCAAAAACAACCCGAAGGCTACTTCTGAGATTCCTTTAAGGAGGTGACGAACTCGTTCACCTTCAGTCATCTGGTCGCTTAAACTTCGGCAGAGAGTCAGGACGTCTTCTATATATGACGTGTAAGTTTCGCCCGGTTGTTGAATGCGCGTATTCAGTCGACGCTCCCAAATAGCACCACTATTTTCTGGTCTTCCAAATACCTCTCTTGCACGAGCTGTGAAAGTTTCCCATGATTGCCACTCGTGTTCGTGGTTTAGGAACCATGTTTTTGCTACATCGGTAAAATAAAAAAAAGGATGTTGGCTAGCTTCATCGAACTGTCCCGTCGGTTGTAAGTGCTGACTTTGTAGTAGATGCCGAGCCATTCGTTAATGTCTTCCTCGCCAAGGCCGGTAAAAACTTGCGGCTCCCGTTGGCGCAATGAGAGATGCCAGATGGGCTCAGGAGTTGAAGAAAGGGACCCTGTCTGACCTTCAGTGGGTGGCTGCGAAGTGGAAGCAGCATGCTGTCCCAAGGCCTCTGTTGGCGGTGTGGCGTTGGCTGCCATGACAGTCATCCGAACGCCGCTGCGTAGCTCCATTTACCCCGTACATACACCAAGTTGTGAGGAGGTTTATGAGGTATCTCAAGCCTGCTCCGAAAACGTCCCAGGAGAACCGGCCGCTGGGCAGAATGTCCGATTCAACCCTGAGCTCAAGCGGGTCTCGCTCGTCACGATCCACGAGCTCTTTCTTGCTCACGCGTCCGCAGTCAGCTTACCGAAGTTGGCGCACATTCTCAGTTTATAGGTTCGCGTCGCTGCTTACAATATACAGGTGTATATATATGTATATATATATATATATATAAGGGTGTGTCACAAAACGCAGGCCGAATCGCTCCTGCGAAAACTACTCATCGCAACGAAAACAGGCTCTTGGCGTTTTGGTCCTGGGCTAGGGCCCCATTTAGGGAAATCACTAAAGTCCGAGATAATTAAGTTGTTAATTATTTTTGCGTGATTAACTTTTTAATATTGTAATTAAGGGCATGATTTAAATTAGAAAATTGCACAGCGTCATCGCAAAACACTGAATCAAAAGATTGCGGAACGATAGAAGGTACGCGAAGCATTTTACGGCTTTCTGGAAAACCGCACAAAATCGACGGGTGTTTTAGTTTCGATTTGCTATCGGAGCGCATCTCAGCCCCGGTGGCACCGCGCTCCGTGGAAAGATAGTGAAACCAACCTCTGCTGCGCTGTCATCACGCGCCGCAGCAGATGCTGGTTGCACTATCTCTCCACGGGGCGCGGTGCAGCCCGTCCCGATGGAGGAGTGGTTCCCTAGATATCTTGGAAGACGGGCCCTTTCCGATATTTGCAAGCTGAGATGACGTGCCACGTCACTGCCGCAATTCGGAACTAGCGCGGGCCTTAAATCAGCAACGGTTGTCGTCTAGCCAATTAAGCGAATTCGAAACTAAGAGTACACAGAGAGCTGGTCAAAAATTGAGTCCGCCGAAACCAGTGGCTGGGATGGTCGAATCCATTCTGTTGCCGGCGCTCGCAGCGATCGGTCGATAGGATGGCGAACTCCGACGGAGCGATGATAATGGCCGTTGCCGGCCGCGGTATCTCGTCTGCTGATGATTAGAAGATACTTCTGCCTTCTCTGCCTTCTGAAGCAGCCACTGTGAACTCTGTTTTTCTACACGGCGACGTAACCGGCCGTCCGTACCGAATTGAGGACTTTCGAGAAGAACTGCAACGACTGCAAATCCTCGGCGATGTGGCGCCTTTTGGCGCCTATCAAATGAATCACGTGTGGCTCGTCACCTTACACTCTGCGTCAACGAGGAACCGGCTGCTCGCCGCCAAGGAACTGACGTCAAATGCAAGCGATGTATCTTCATAGACCCGAAGAACTCGGAAACCTGTCTGAAACTTCACTGGTTACCTTATCACGTCCCTGACGACACAGCTCGACGAGCACTTGATCCATATGGCAAAGTACACGAAGTAATCCGTGAGACGTGGAGAGCCCAAGGTTTTCAAAGAGTCCAGTCAACAACAAGGCTCGTTCGGATCACTCTGAAGGAGGGCGTCAGTAAAGAGAGCGTCCCTCATCAACTGCGCTTCTTCGGCGGCTCTGCACTCGTCCTAATGCCCGGACGAGCCCCGCTCTGCCTCCGGTGTAAGAAGACCGGCCACATCCGAAAGGACTGCCGCGTCCCCCGTTGTGACGATTGCCACCGTTACGGCCACACAAGAGAAACCTGCGTCAAATCTTACGCAGTGGCAACGGCCGGACCACTTCCGGACGAGAACACCGACCTTATTATGGACGAGGCAGAAGCCGAGCTAGCTGCCAGTGCGAACGCCTCCGTAAGGACGCTTCCTGCGGCCCCGAGGATTGCCGAAACGCCGACGTCTGGAACCAGGGAACCTTCTCCACAGGTCGAGCTCCCCTCGGACGCTCCCTCTGGGGAATCACAGCGAGGCGGCATGGAGGCGCCTGTTACAACGCCTGGGGAAGAGTCGCAACTTACAGCCAAGGTACCAGAACCAGATGGTGGGTTCTCGGACAGCGAAATGCGGGACGAAGCCATGGTAGCGGGAGCCGCTACATCAACCAAGCGACCGCATAAGCAAGACCGAAGCGCTAGGGCAGAGGACGGTATGCCGACCCAACAGCGTTCGAAACTGGTCACGCCGGGTCGCGGACGGCGCAAGCCGCTCACGCTCCATGCGGCTCTGGACAACCGCCTCGAGACGGACTCTTAGCGCGGAACCTGGCACGAACCTTCTACCGCGGCTCGTAGTGAATGCTTCTCCTTGCTAGTTCGAGCGCGTTAGTATAGGGTTTTAGGTTTCCTGCCTCTTTCTTAACTAACAGATTAAAAAACGGTTTAATGTATTAACCCTAAACTGCATCAGCCTAATTCTGTGGAAGAGAAAACAATGGGTACTCAACGAACTACTGAAAAGAAATGCCGATATAGTGTTCTTACAGGAGACGAAGCTCGCCTCCGATTTACAGGTACAAGAAATGGCCTTGTTTTTTGAGAGACACTTCAGTCTTTTCCATTCAAACGCTGTCGCGCACAGCGGGGGAGCCGCTCTTTTCATTCGAAAAGATAAAGCTTTCACGCTACTTCCCGAGTGGGAAAGTGATAAGAGTGGAACGTTCTGTGCAGTAGATATGCTGTTTCACGGTGATATCTTTAAACTTGTTTGTGTGCACGCACCAAATGCGCCAGCCGACCGCAAATCGTTTTTTATCAATTTACGGGAATACTTAGACACGCCTGCAAAGACGACACTGGCGGGAGATTTCAATTGTGTTTTAAAGGCACGAGATTGCTCCAACGGGCTGAAATCAGACTCCAGTGTCGTAGAGTTGAATAAACTACTGCGAGATTTTGATCTTCAAGATGTGACAGAGGTGGTGGCAGCACCGGGTCTAGAATATACCCATTGGCAGGGCACTTGTCACGCCCGTCTCGATCAGGTGTACGCTTCAAGTGAATGCGTGGCGACTGCTGACGCATACTCGGTTACCCCTGTTGCGTTCTCCGACCACGCAGTCGTTTCGGTCTGTTTAGGAAGAGCCAAGCGTAAAGAAAAAAGAGCCTCGCGCTGGAGCTCCTGGAAAATGAATGAGAGCCTTTTAGAGGATGTGACTTTAATTAAACAAATAAAGGACGTCATCCGGAATACAAGCGAAGTAGGCGCGGTAGATGCCGTCAGCTGGGAATTGCTCAAAGAAGAGGTAAAGCTAATTACTTTCCGGTTCAGTCAAGAAAAGGCTGCTCGAGCGCGAGCAGAGAAACGCTCCCTAGAAAATACTCTGCGAATCTTAGTTCGTGAAGAAAACCCTAATCCCGGAGTATTCGCGGAAGATATTCGCGAATGCAAATTGAGGCTGCTCCCGCATTTAGAGGAAAAGTTCCAGGGAGCGATGGTGCGATGTAGGCTGCAAGCGCTACAGCTCGAGGAAAAACCGGTTAAAATCTTCAAAACTAAAGAACGTTTGCACGTACGCCGCAACCAAATAACATCGCTACGGACTGGAGATGAGATTGTGTCGGAGCAACAGCGAACAGAGAAAGAATTGGTCGCCACGTTCACAAAACTGCTGGGAGGGCAAAAATATGCAAACGGGACCTGTTTCGTGGGATTCTTGGAAGTTATGCCTGAAATTCCTTCAGAGATCTCGGAGAGAATAAGCAGTGAAATGACGGAAAAAGAAATTGAAGATGCAATTAAAGATCTTAAAGTCAGGAAGTCACCGGGAATTGACGGCCTAGGATCACTGTTTTATAAAAAGTTGACGAATCTGGTAGTAGCGCTGCTTCGAGCCGTCTATCAAGACATTTTAAAACGCAATTTGCTGCCTCCGTCGATGCGACAAGCATTGAGTGTACTTATCCCAAAGAAAAGCACTGCCTCCAGTGTCATGAGTGTAGACAACCTGAGACCAATCAGTCTACTGACCACTGACTACAAAATTCTGGCGAAAATTCTTACCAAACGTCTGGAGGTTGGATTAAGCGGCATCGTAGGAGAGCACTAGCCCTATGGATTTAAAGGCAGATCCATCACTACAAACGCGCACACAATGAGAATCATATGTGAGACAGCAGAGGCGGAACAGTGCCCAATCGGAGTGCTGCAAGTAGACCTCAGCAAAGCGTTTGACAGAGTGTCACACTCCTTTGTTTTTGCGCTTCTTGAACGATGCCGCCTAGGAGAAACGTTAACGAAGTGGGAACGCGACAGAACAGCACACGACAAAACAGCACGCGACAAAACAGCACGGTCAAAACAGCACGCGTCAAAAGAGCACAGCGTCACAACAGCACGGCGACAAAACAGCACGCGTCAAAATAGCACGCGACAAAACAGCACGGCGTCAAAACGGCACAGCGACAGAAGAGCACGTGCCAAAACAGCACGGCGTCAAAACAGCACGCATGTAAAAAGGCTGTAATAGGTAGCGTTTTATGAAAACAAAACAGAGCGTAAAGGAAACGGGTTGGACATTGCGAGGCATTATTTAACAGCTAGTGGAGAAACAATAAAACAAAATGTACGCTGGCGGTGACGGGATCGCACTCAAGTCAGTGTCCCGAGTGCTAGTGCTGTGTGATTGCTAAAAACAAATAAAGTTAGCAGTAATTACTACTACTTAACTACGCTAAACTCTGCATAGACTGGGTAGTTAGAGTTGGCTGCGTTGTCTGGTTCTTTTACTAAGTATCAGAGAAAGAGGAAAAGTTATTCGGAAAAATATATCTATAAGTTCAAGTTATGAACTGCCTGGTTTGTGGCGGTCCGGTGAGGTTCCGTAGTACTCGTTGTTTTGTAATTACCACCTAAGCGTAAAATGTCCCCTCCCCCCCCCCCCCCCCCCAAAAAAAAAAAAGAAAAAAAAAGCAGCAGATGCCTTGATTACAGATGCGTTCATAGAACCGGTAAGATAAGGTGACTTTAATGTGAAGCGTATTCAAGGTGCACCATGGGCACCGATTCTGCGGGGTTCATTCGCCGTGGATAAAATCTCCTGGAAACACGCGGCTAGGGCTTGCAGGCGAGAAGTTTTACGTTTTGAGTTAAATTCACAGATTATTGCCGACGAAGGCCTTGATCGAGTAGAAACCGGTGAAGCAATAACATGCCGTAGCCTCAATGCTGTGGCCTTACACTGCAGCATGGGCTGAACGCAGCGTTGCCGCACACGCCTTCTGTTGTTTTTTTCTTTTTTAACAACTAACGAAAGCACATTGCCGTGCGATTGAATTATTTATTGTAGACGATATCACCAGCAAACTTGCGCGCCAAAATGAGCAAAACTGCTCAAAAAAGATTGCGGTGGCTTAGCTCGGCTATGCCTGGATATACGTAGCGTGAGCTTATGCGTACAAAATGAGAGGCGCTATCAAGCGGCTCCGGTGCAGCGCCAGACTTGGCTACTGCGCAACGGAGACGCACAGCTGGGCACGCGGTGGCGCCAGTGCGTCTGCCGCGGCTATGACGTCAATCCTCTGGAATGCGCAGACCCACGAGGCGGGCGCGGCGGCGGCGGCTCCAGCGCGCCAGCTGTGCTCCTCGCGCATGCACTGCTCCTCGCGCATGCGCAGCACGGAGCACGGCTCATTATGCGAACCACGGGAAACTGCTGAACCTCGGCCTGTGTAGCTCACGCCACAAAAAGCCAGAATACGGACCAGCGGGGGCTTCGGTACTGCCCCGGGAACCGTCATGCGCGCATCGAGTATACTCCCCACTCCGAACTTGCTTCCAAAAGAACAGATTCGAAAAATTGGCCGTCGACGAGTTGGCTTTCGACGAATTGGCCTAGAACCTCAATTCCTTTACGGTGCCTTATTTGAGAAATGCTTTTTTTTTATTTTTTAACTTCAAACGCTGTATTTAGGGTTCAGCGTTTTCGGGTTAAACCGAATATAACCGGTAAAAGTACGCCGAATTCATTTTTCCACAATCGGTCTTAACTGAACAAGTTCAGTATTTTCGACGGCGTTTGGAGTGGTGTGTGTGTGTGGCCGGGGGGGTTGTGACTCGGAACTACGGTTTCGAGTTTTCGGATAAATTCGGAAAACACCCGCCGGTAAAAGTTTCGTCTATTCCGATTTATCTGATAAACTCTGAATTTCGATGTGCCAATCTCCGCCCCCCCCCCCTCCCCGCCCACAAACACACACACAAATATATTTTACAATTAATAATTTAATCAGCGCGTAGAGTAAATGTCCCGGGAAAATGTCACCACACATATCTGTCGAATTTTGGTCAAGACTACCGGTCATTGTACTATCGGGTCAAGACAAAAGTCACTGTTTATGTTTCCGGTTTCGGCCATACTATTTGTGCCTGAGAGGAAGGAGAGGTTGTGTTTTTGCAACCGCGAAAGCTATGGACCATAGATATTACATAAAGTGGAAAAGAGGACACTTGAAACTTCTCTATTACATCCTTTTCCAATCTATCTCTTGCAGCCGCGCGTTAGGTTGATGGAATAGCATGGAATGAATACAGGCTTCCCAGCGACTACCTCCAGTAGGTTATTCATTTTAAGGTATTCGCGTTTATCGAAATAACACTTGTGTGCCACTTTTGCTCTAGGACAAATTAGTACTGCCAGTAGTAATGGCACCATGCCAAATCCAACTGAGGAAAATATCAATTGATACAATCGCGTTTTCTTTTTGCCCAGAATATGTTTACATTTTGATATTATTTGTTTATTATTAATAAGAAACACTGCGATTTTGAGCTCCAAATTTCGGAGAATTTGGAATAAAACAAAAATAAACTCCAATAAACTTCGAATTTTCGGCGAAAAATAAACTCAGAAAAACACCCTCCGCACTTGACGAAAAAACTCTGAAAACACGAACCCTACTCATTACTGACCATATGACCACTTTCTTTCCAAGCTTTCTGCTTGTCTGCGAGATCGGTTCAACTTTCAACATAAGCTCCGGGGGCGCTGGGGTCTTCAGGACGAAATCTGGGTTTTTCACCTGATAGAGATTTGTGCCGAATTCTTTGTTAAAAGAAGAGAGTTTAATCGTGAAATCAAACATCGGAAATCAAGAGCGTCCTTAAATGCCGCGCATTGTGTAACACCCCTAGCTTCCGTCTACTAGAGGAGGGCATAAATACGAGTGTTTTATTGTCATTTTTGCCGTCGGCGCGAATTTATCACCTCTTGCAGTCGTGAAAATGGGGGAAAACGCACCGAGTACAATGCTTGCTAA